AATAAAGTGACGGTCGCACTAAAGGGAAGCAAAGGGACGTGGTTTCCATTTGAGTTCTTCATTGATTTATTAGCTACTCAGAGGTGAAGTCACTGATGTCCGTGATTTTTTTTATGCTTGTTTCTCAGCAAGATAAAGTATATTTATTATCATGACTTCATGGAAACAGTGGGAAAATGAATAAACATTCTTCACGTTTTTGAAACACATTATGCTTCTGCTATTTTGCAAATAAAGTACAGAAATTAATAAGCTAGGTCTTTCAGTACTCCACTTAAAAAAATTTTTTTAAAGATCATTGGTACTCACAAAGAATGATTAGGTTTACAATATTTTAAATTTCATTCTTTCCGAAATCAAATCAGCCAGAAGAGATGTCTAGTATTGTTTTCACATGAAATGAAGAATAAGTCAGGGCATTTACCACCCCAATTTAGACTTTATAAAGTAAACTAAAAATCATTAAAAGATTTTCCCATTGATGTTTACATTGCTTTTCCTCCTCAGGAAAAAACAAACCAACCAACCAACAAACAAATCCTCTGTTCAAGTTACACAAAGTGTACTGTAATTAAACTCACTAGGTCAAGAGCAATGTCTATTTTAAACTAAAATTTTTGACTTGCTATTGTGCAGTTGCAGGCAAAGGGATGGGCAGGTTTTATTAAATGCCTTTTAGATCCAGAGTATACTTGTATTTGTTTGTAATGGGATATTTGGGGGAAACTATAGCAATATATTTTAGTGCCAAATGGTAGAAGGTGTTATTGGCCAACTTTGCAGTAGTCTTCAATTTCCTAAATGGAACATGGTGTTACAGACAAAACCTGGTGGCTTTTTTGACTAATATATATATGTATATATTGCTACTATATTTTAAAAACACTTAATCTTATGAAAATTATAATGTAACAAATCCCTGGTTAGAATAGTTGGAAGCTTATTTGAAATAGAAATCGCTCAGCTGTATTTTTGTGAGCTTCCTGGCAGTTGCAGGGTTCAGTGCTCCCTCTCCTGGTTTTATCTCTTGGTGAACTGACCTCTCCTCCCAGGATTGTTGTGATAATTAAGAAGACAATTTTGAAGAACCAGATTAGATAGTCTAATAATGATCGTCTATTTCTGGTTTGCATGGTCTCAATCCTTTCACAACAGTGAAGAAACATTCATCTTTGGTAAAAGTGATCTACATTATCAAATAAAGTAAGATTTATGAAAAAGGAAAAACATGCAATAAAATCAATGTCATGTTTTTAAACATCTTAATCTAATACAATTTAAAATATTAAGGGTGAATATATAGCTCTTTAGCTCATTCTTCTTCTGTTATTTTCTAGTAAGTTTTATTTCTTATTATCGATGCTCTTATTTATGTCCTAGATTCTTTGGAGGCAATTACACAACCTTAATTTTTTTAATGCTCAAATCTTTGAAAGTCCAATATAGGAAATAAAGCCATTTCAATGGAGTCACAGTAGTAAAGAATGCGAGTTTCAGAAATTATCTTGAGCCGAAAATGTCCATATTAGTCTGATCGAGTCTAGAGTTTTGTTTTGCCAAAGACTTGAAGCTTTTCCTGATATGAGTACCACCCACCTGGTGGGTGGGAGGAAGGATTACTTTTGATTGCATAATTTTGTTGTTGCTGTTGTTAAGTATCTTTTTCAAGTCTCTATGGAATCTTAAATTTTACTTGTTCTTATGGCAGCATGAACCTAATGATTTTTATTTTAAAATGTTCAAAATATACTAGTTTATAAGAGAGCAGAAAGGAAGTTCTCTACATACATGATTAAAAGCCCCCCCTCTCCCCATCATGGCATACGTATTTTGAAGAATTAAAAAACTTCTACGTGAATCATTTGTACTTGAAATCATTTTTCCTCAGCTAATTAAAAACAAAGTTTTTTGAGGTTATGAAAATTTATAAAAATAAATTAGAAAGTTGAATGAATCTGAGATTTTTCTATTGAGCTAATTTTGGGGAAATCACATCACAAACCAAGATAGTGAGATATTTTAAAAAAACAAACCTGCAGCCAAAAATTTGACTCCTTATGACATATTGTTTTACTGCATTTGCAGTGAAGGCTGCCACCTTTTAAACTTTGAGAGTTCACATATTCTGAGCTTGGTTTTAAATAGGACTGTAATGTTATATGAACATCCTTTTTTATATCAGCTACACATTTTCCCTCCAACTGATCAGAGTGGTGGCTTGACATACAATGGGCTGTTTTTGTTTTTTATAACCTACCTTTAATCTTCAAAATTATTTTCTAACTCAATTTTCAGGCTGGCCTCCAGCAACCCTTTATTGAGAATGATAATAAAGAGTCACGCATTCAGAGGTATTCTTTTGTGGCAAACTGCATTTGCAGGATGTTTATTACGAGAGTGAACACGACAACCGTTCCAAGTGTACACGCAAACGAAAGAGGAAACGACAGTTGGGGAAATCCTGTTCCAGGTTTTCAGGCAGCCCGTGTGATTGACACATGATATCACTGGGGGCGTGTCCTGGAGTGGAGGTGGAGGTGGTGGCGAGGAGCTGAAATGCTGCGGAGCCGGAGTGGGATCGCTCTGTGAGGCACGCAGTGGTTTGCGGAGTGATAGCACCCGACCGAGCTCCGGGCCCCGGATAAGGAACAGCCTGTGCTGCAAAGCCATCTCCAATCTTTGCAGTAGGTAAGGATCTCTCCCTTCTTTTCCTTCTGTAGATCTTCTAGGAGAGAGTGGAGGGGAAAATGTTTGTATTAGCAAGGAACCGAACATTTCTTTGAACTGCCTGTAGATCTGAGATTACTGGTTGCATTTCAAAGCACCAGTAGCATTCCCAACTGGCTAAAACGGAGGCTGGTGAAGTGAATGCCACCGTTGGAAGGAGAGGTGGGCAGAAGCGTCCCTTTCCCTTTTTGCCCCCTTGTCCGAGCCGTTGAACACGAACGAGTTTCAAGTTCGAAACGATCGCACGTACGAAACCCAGGGTGGCTTGTGTCGCCGAGGGGCTGGCAGTCGGTGTGTGGACAAATGCCTGTCGGTTTCGGCTTTGTGGCCGAGCGAACCCCCAGCGAAGCAAATGTTTAAAAACCTGAATTTCCCGTCTGCGGGTATTGATTTCCAGCGCGCCGAGGCGCGGCTGGAACGTTGTTTGAACTCCTAGGCACGCTAAGGGACCGCAGCACTGGGGCAAAAACGTGCAAGACTGCATGTTACTTTGGGTCGCGGCTGACACGCCGAAGGTGCGCCGGCCTGTCAATCATCGCGAGCAGCAACAGGCAGCACATGGCCGAGGGCTGCGGGCGGCGGGCGGGCCCACGAGCGACCCGCCCCGCTGCGCCGGGCCCGGCCGAGGTGCGCGCCGCGCGCCCCAGAGCCTGCACGGAAAGGGGGATTAATTTCTCTTTTTGCCTCTCTGCTCGTCTGCAGCGGGCGTTCGGGTCGTGGAACCGGTGGGTCGGCGGACTGGGAGCGAGCGTTGCCCCGGCGAGGCGGACCTGCCCGGACCGGAGATCCCGGGCCTTCGGTGCCCCCACTTGCCCAGCGTGCGGGACCGGGCAAGGTCCTCGGCCTGCGC